TTCGCAGGTAACAAAACAATGCCTTTGTTTTTCTTTAAGTTGCACATAGTTTGATGTTCTTTCCTTCCTTTTTTAGCTAGTTAGGCTGCTTCGCCATTTTCCTTTTGTTGATTTCAGGTCTTTTCAAACTAGTAAACACACTTTGTTAGCCGTTCTATAATTCATTATTTTGAAGCTGGAACAGAATTAAATCCTAATTTTATTGATTTTTAAGGAAATATTTTGAACAGTGAGACAATATTTATATTATTGCATAACTGGGGAAAACTATATAATTTTCTGCTTAAATAAAATAAAGTAATTTACTTCTGTTTAATATCTTCACGTTAGATAGCAGATATTACTTGCATTGTTGCCTTTATATCTTAGAAGTGTCCGTGAAAACTAACAAGTTATTGTTATACTTGTGTACGTCTCTTACAAGTCGACTGATTACAATTATACTTGTCAGAAAGCATTAATATTAGGCCTATTACATTTTTAAACACTACATGCTTAATGTAGTCCCGTAGTTATATATGCACCATTTTTTTCCCAAAGAAGCATGTAAATGAATTGAATGAATTCATTAAGGCACGAGAGCCTTAATTTTGGCAATGTTGGACGCTTCTGTACCCAAGATTCACTGTGCCTCTTTCAATATATTGTTGATATCACCTTAAATGTTAGAGGATTCACTTTTGCTTGATGATAAACACACAACCTGGACATTTCTGGGGCAAATGGAAGGATTTTTATGCTATAACTCTACGTTTCAAAATGTTACGTAATTCCTTATAGAAAAATTTACATTCTTCAAGTAAAAGTCATCGACAAATACAAATTGAAATACAACTTTATGAAAAATAAGTTTAATCACGAAATAGGTTGTGTAATATACAAATTTCCTGTTTGCTGAATTTCGCACCAAATTTTGATCTGATAGACTAGAGAAAAGTCAGCTAGTCAACACCCCCTTTTATCAATTAACAGTAGAAATGACGTCATATTATAAGACCTTCAAAGTTGAGAAAGGGTTAGCATGTTCGGAGACGGGATTTAATCCCTCGACCCACAGATTGCGAATCGAGTGTCTTAACCACTATCAGGACATACCAGACATACAGAAGAGGGAGACAGAGATAACAAATTGGTTATATTAATAACCTACAGAAGAGGGAGACAGAGATAACAAAGTGGTTATATTAATAACCTACAGAATAGGGAGACAGAGATAACAATGTGGTTATATTAATAACCTACAGAAGAGGGAGACAGAGATAACAAAGTGGTTATATTAATAGCTACAAATCAACAAATATTCTTTTCTTAATATTTATATTTCCTGAACAAAATATACACAGTTTAAAACAGTTTTTACTTTCGTATTTTGATGTTTGTAACTGTAAATTGTTTATCTATATTTGGACTAGAAAGTACTTATTTTGTTCCATCATCAAAATTAAAAATATAATTAAAACTAAAGGCTAGCTTAATGGAAAAAGAATGATGAGGCATTGGTGAAAGTTGTGGTTCTTTACTTAGAATTTCCAAAATTAACAATATTTTCATATGTCTGAAGAAATTCAACAACTGTTACTGAAATGATACAAAGCCTTATCCTTTTGTACTACACACACACACACCATTTGATGGGTAACAGGAACTTGTAATATTATACATATAACCAGGTAAAAATTACTGTTACAAAATAATGTAGTTACCAACTTCAATGTATTCTTATGAAATCTGGTATTTGAATGATTTAATTTGAGAAGCAAATATTTTTTATTAACCTACACTCTATATATTGATATATAATGGTTTCACAAAATCTTGTCTTATATATCGTTTCAAGTTAATTACATAGATAAAATCGCTTCAAATTATCCATTAATCATGGTTGAACCCCCAAAGAAGGTATTCGGGTGTTTCGCTCGTGTGGTAAACCACCAAAACGTGGTAGAATACTAACTGCAGTAGAATTCTGTAAACCGTTACAAGTTTCTCAGAGTGTCCTCAGCAGAGTGTAGAACCGCTTCAAAGTTAACGTTTTCGAACTTTCTGTAATAGCAAACTTTCACCTCTTAGGTCAAAATTCTGCGGTACAAACCTCATTTTAAAATGGTCAAATCTAACGGCCTATATTGTTTCTTATTGTAGATAATGTAATATTTTGTAATAAAGTTCGTTAGAGTTTTTATCAAGAGAAGTTCACTTTTATCTTCTTCTGGCTTTTACAATTTAGAAAACAAAATAATATAGTCAAGTAAATTTTGGTATATTCAGCTCATTCTTGAATATAGGCGAGTACATTTTGGTATAGTCAGCTCATTCTTAAATATAGGCGAGTACATTTTGGTATTTTCAGCTCATTCTTGAATATAAACGAGTACATTTTGGTATTTTCAGCTCATTCTTGAATATAGGCGAGTAAATTGTGGTATTTTCAGCTCATTCTAGAATATTAGTATGCAAAATGATGACCAACAACTTCCTTTGATGATATGAATAAAACAAAAACCGCTAACAATGTGTTTCAAGTAGATGAACTTATTGAAACTTCTAGCTTCGCAAACAAAAGTATTTCGTTAAGTGATTTCAGTAAACCTCGAGCTTTCACAGTGTTTCCATTCATTCAACATCATCTTTTGAAGGTTAGAATTTTTCTCATTTTATCCTAGTTTAGCTTGTGCGTGCGTTTGTTTACCGTTATCTGTTTGGATATCTATAGAATATGAAGATGATATTAATAAGATATTGTAGAATTCTAACTCCTATAGCTAACCAACTGTAAGTTTACTGTAAAAGTCTTGGCTTTATTTGTTAACGTTCGAAACTACCAGGGAATCAGGAATTCTTATGTTACATTCGAGTAACCTTTTACGAAGCTTGCCACGTATTTTATTATTTCAAATAACTCTCAAACTCCGCAATATCTGAGCCATAGCGCCACTATATATCTATTTACCAAAGCACGTTTCTCTTTAATGTATTTAATACATCTTGATTCGTTACAAGAAACAGTTGACTACTTGGCCGAATTGAATAATTACTGTTTTTTTTTTCAACCTTAGACCAAACATGATTTTATTTTCCAGTCTTTCTGTGGTGTACGCCAGTGTTACAATATTTTAACTGTGATATCACCTTAGACCAAACATGATTTTACTTTCCAGTCTTTCTGTGGTGTACGCCAGTCTTACAATATTTTAACTATGAAAGCATATGAGTGATAATATTTGGATAATATTTTTTTATACATATCAGTGTGTCAACATTGGTCTGCTTGAGTCACCTTTAATTGAATTCTTTCTTTTCACATAATTTGAAAACTTTATTGCAACATGGCCAGTTTACTGCATGGCACTTAAAACATAACTACATAAAAGATGAATTACCTTCTTGAACCCCTGCGGTGCTAGAATTATCCAACTTTCAGATTACATCAAAGAGGAACAATATTTCAGAGCATTTTCATGGACTCAAAGGTATATACCAATCACGTGTGGTTGGATGTTATTCTAACGAGCACACTTTTCATTACAGGTAAGATTAACTAATGTCTAATAATTCATTACAGCATAAACGGAATTTTTCAGTCTAAGCAGCACATGGTCTAAGAGATCAGAACAGACGACTTTAATGTAAAATTTCTCACCAAGAGAGCGAAAACCAATTTATCAGCATCCTTCACCTACGCAACAACCCTTCAAAAAAGTGCAACGGTATTTCGCTTCTCGAACCTTCCGATCTATCGCTTAGTACGCTAACCACTAAGCCACAACCAGCTCTTATTTATACCAACTAAATATTTGTAATATAAAATAAACTGATTCATATAAAATAATAGCTTCTCTAGCATTGTTAGCTAAGTTTGGTGTTAAGCAGAAATCTACACAATGGGCTTTCCGTGCTCTGCCCACTGCGGGTATCGAAAACATATTTTTAGCGTTATAAGCCTTCGAACTTATCACTGAGCCAACGGAGGAGGAAGCTATTAGTTAAGAGCTACAGTTTTTATTAGTGTTAACATTAAAAAACCCAGCGCTTTCAGAGCATATTAGAGTTTTATGTTTTCCGGAAGCTACAGCCTCACCTTTAAAGTTTCTGTGTCAACATAAACTTTTATATACAATATTTTAATGAAAAACGAATTGTGTCCACAAGCCCGACCTGTGATTTCTATACGAATATAAGAAGTAAGATACCTGTTGATTTATGACATACATTTTGAAGATTATGATCAACAAGAAAATAATCGTTAAACTGTTTTTTAATTGTGAACTTTGATGTTAGCTAAATTTTTGTTTGTTTATGTTTTTATTTGGGGGGGGGGCTGAGTAATCTGAACCTGAACTATGTAATTTTTTTTTACTATATATAAAATATTGGAAAACTTTTATTACACAACCCAAATCTTTTCAATCCTTACTAGTTTCTTCTTTCTCACAGAAAACCACGAAACTTTTCAAATAAATATGCTCATTCTTTGGGGGGAGGAGGTGAGAAGTGTAAAGTAATGAAGCTAGAATTTATGAAGAAGAAAGAAACATAATGTTCCTTCTTGTTCCCTGACATTAAGTATAATCTAAACATAGAGCCAACTTATCATTCACAGATCTTTACTTATTTATAAAACAACAAAAGCTTTTCATCAGCAAAAACATATTCATAAAATCGCCTTGATAAAATGTTTTATTGGAAAAGTATGCTAACAATTACACCAAGTAAGAAATAATTATAAAGATCTGTCTTTCTTCCCTTACTATAGCAAGCATACTAAGAGATATACTACGCAGTATTAAGATAAGTTTTACAACAGAATATATATATGTCCATTAAGATCTCTTGTTTCGATATGAGTTTCAGATGCTATTTCATTAGCTTAATAACAAAAGCATTCTACATATTACATTACTCGTAACCATTGTTAGATTAATTATTTGTTCCTTATTATACGCATCCTATTTCAGTAAAAATATGAACTGGATTAATTATATTTTATTTTATTTTGTTAGAATCCCACTGGAGTTTTCCGTTCGGGCCACTTTTTGTAATTATTGGAACAAGTTTTGTTGCTGTAACAGCGGTTGTTCTGGTCATAATAATTCTTATCCACGTGCGCCAGTCCCGTAGGAAGCCAAGTAAGATTTTTAGTGTTTGCTCCGAAATTTTAGTTTCGATTCTTTGTTAATCTGAAAATTCTAAGAAATGTCGTGTATTCTCTGTAGGGTCGGAAAAGAGTTTACTGATCTAATTAAAATTGTTGGCAAGTCTTAAGCCTTGTTATTTAATATTGTATTGACTTTTTTCTAATGTAATGTTAAGAATTCAGAAGCGTCTTGAATAACATGTATGAAAAACTTTTTACCTCATTATATAAATATAAATTAATTTCCGTTTCTTCATTCTCTGTAAATTAGAAGTAATTCCCTTAGTTCTTACGTCAAAAGTACAAAATGTCTTCTGCTTAAATTTGATTAATATATTTAAAAGTTATAACAAAGTGATATACCTTTTTCTTGATATAAAATCATATTTTTCTTCTAGACAGCCGCCAAAGAGATGTCTCTACCGGGTAAGCTTAAAATGCGTGTGTTATTTTTAATCTAACTATAATCCTATCATTAGCATGCTATGTTTATGGTGAGCTTGTTTGTTTTAGACCAAAGTAACTTTGGGCTATCTGTTGTGTTGACCACGTGGAATCGAACCCCGGGCTATAATTTTGTAAGCCCGTGTGAAATATATCACATTCTTACTCCAAATGTACTTTAACATAGCTAAAACCATTCTTACATAAGTTGTTGAATTTTTTTTCGGGTAACTTAATACATAATTTTGTCAATATTTCCGATATGCTATGCTTTAAAGTGCTCGAAATGAGACATTTTTAAATTATAAATTTATTTTAGTGATTTATTATTGGATTGTGAACAAAGGTTATTTATTATTATATTGTGAACAAAGGTTATTTATTATTATATTGTGAACAAAGGTTATTTATTATTATATTCTGAACAAAGGTTATTTATTATTATATTGTGAACAAAGGTTATTTGTTATTATATTCTGAACAAAGGTTATTTATTATTATTATATTCTGAACAAAGGTTATTTATTACTAATTTATTGTCAAACGTAAGACTAATTTGTAAGTGAAAGTAAGATAGAAAGTGTAACAACTCTATATCAGTATCGACGAGGCCTTACGCTCAAATACGTTTTACATAGCGGCTGGGATACGAAAGACATAATAGTGGTCAAGGTGCTATTTCTATTATCAAATTGTATGTACAACAGCTGTTATGATATGAAGGAAGTTAATTTGGTGTTATGCAATTTCTAACTCATTTACAAATCACAATTAGCGTCACGATTCATAACGCAATTTTATTTATTTGTGTTAACACAATTATATATTATCATTTACTTTAATTAAGTTGAAGGAAGTTAATTTGGTGTTATGCAATTTGTAACGCATTTAGAAATCAGAATTACGGTCACGATTCATAACGCAATATTATTTATTTGTGTTTTCAAATAATATTCTTGTTCTCTTCGTTTATTGTTTGTTGTTCTTGTAAAAGAAGATTATATTAAAACATGTTACCATGAGATTATTAAAGGAAGGGTTATACTAGGAAGTTAACTTACCATGTTGATTATAATTTTGAGCAGTAAGTACGATTGTAATATGTAGAGATAAACATATTCGAATTATATCTGATAATAGACTTTTAAATTTTTTTAAAATTCGTATTGGGTTTCTGATGTCTTGAAAGTACATTATTTTAGATATTAATATATGGTGCCTCATCCTTGTAGCTCATAGATAAATGAAATATAAGCTGAGTGTTATATGAAGTTATTATTATTATTGAATTAAGCATAGTTATAATATAAGGAATGTTAAGTGGGTTTTATGAATACAAATTTTCTTTTATATGTACTCTTAATTTGCAATACCATACATTAGATTAATTTCAATTTAACGAAATAATAACTGCTCATAAAAATAATCTGAAAATACGAGTAGTGTTTTATGAATTATTAAGAGATACCATAATGATATGATTAAAAATCATATTGAAAAAAAAACTCTAGCTTTCGCTTTTAGGCTTATGATTTTCTACACACAAGATCTCAACTTGATTACAACATAGAAAAGTGTCTTCATTATCTATAGTTTAATATGACAAGTTTGTTGTACTTCATTTATTTTCGTCGTAACTAACATTAACTTCCAATGAGAAACTACCTACTTAGGGCAAAACTAAAAATTAGCCCAATAATGAATATAGCTAATTAAATATACTTTTGTTACATTCTTATTCATAAAGATTGGAATGCATTGTTTAACCAGCTGGGTACCCCCACTGTTAACGACATTTTCGACCGTAAACCCAATAATATCTCACAACGTTCGAACACCTTAGAAGATTTAGGTTAATCCTAAATACATAAATTAAACTAAAAGTAATGGTAATAAATAAGTAATAGAGTATACCTTACTTATGAAATACACAAACACTAGCCGTTGCCTTGAAGTACTCTTGTTAGATTTAATGTCCGCTGAACAAAGTAACATCAGCGTAACTGCGTATAAGGTGAATTTTCCACAACCCTCCCTAGAAACGTCTCTTGTGACTAATGAAAACTAAATAAACAGTACCGACAGTATAACTAAAGGAGTGTGACATCTGAGATAAATTTCTGATACGTATATTAATATTTGTTTAGGCGTAGAGTCAGGTAGCAAGACATTACCAAGAGTAAAGCCAAAAATTAATATTTGTTTAGGCGTAGAATCAGGTAACAAGACATTACCAAGACTAAAGCCAAAAATTAATATTTATGAAAATACAAATTAATAAATAGGAAGTTTTATGGTTGTTGGCTCGTAGTTTTGTAGTAGAAAGTTACACAATGGGCTATCTGTGCTCTGTGCACTACGAGGAATCGAGCCTCGGATTTTAGCTTTGTAACTCCGAAAACATACCGCTGACCCATCATGGGGGAGAGTAAAATTTAATTCAATTTATTTAATTAATCAGCTACCGCTTAGAAATTCATAATCTTATTAATTTCTATGTTGAATATCAGGCATTAAATTACAATTTTATTTGTATTCTATTGATCAATATATCATCTTATTTGTTTACCTTATGAAGTTCAGAGGAGAGATTCGTTCTAAAAAACAGCACCGATGGATTTAAAAGAACGACATCACATTTGGAAGAAGATACATGTCCTGATATTATACCGATGAGCCTACATCAAGGTAAAACATATGAACTTCAGTTCTTACAAATGATAAAATTCCATTTCGTATCTATATAAAATTAAGTTCATTTAATCACGTGTATAAGTAGATCAAATAAACACATACGAGATGATAATACATATTGTCATTCTTGTGCATATTGAATAATAATGACGTGTATTTAAAAATCAATCTTTCTCTAAAACTAATTACTGAAATATAGAATATTTCGTAAAACTAATTAAATGTTAACTACTACATTTTTTTTTTTTTACTTTTGAATTTCTAAACTCGTTAATTGTGTAAGTAAATTAGTATGAAACGTTTACTCGTGTAAATAACTAACATATTAAACTCAGAACACTTCACCTAACGGTTATGACTTAAATGTATATATATATTTTCTCTTTTATATTTAATTTTGAAAGAAAAGTATTTTATGGCATATCCATAAAAATGCTCTTACGTCAGAAGGGAAAGTCATAAAAATATTTCCAATATTAAACATTTGAAATATAAATATTTCACAGCTAAAACGTAAATATGTTTTTCGTTGAAGTAAGTTACTTTTAAAAGAACGTTTCTTGCTCCTGAGATATAATCTATACAAATATTGATTTCGGTCGGACGATGTTAATTGAAATGCATAGCGCGATAAGCTAACGTATTTTAACTTATCATCATCGGAACTTAGTTCAACTACAATAAGTACCTCAGTGGCTCAGAGATATGCCTGGAGGCTTATAACACTAAACCCAGACTTAGGTACCCGTGGTGGGCACAACACGGACAGCCCATTGTGTAGCTTTGTGCTTAACAACAAATACTTCAACTTGATAAAAAATTTGCTTTAAATTATTTGTAAATAAATAAATACACACACAAATATATATCAATATATCCCCGTGTGATAGAGGTAAGTTTACGGACTTACAACGCTATGATTCGGGGAACGATTCCCCGCGGTGGACATAGCAGATATGCTAATGTGGCTTTACTGTAAGACAAACAAACCTCTGTTAAACATTGATTTGATAAACACACCTCCACAAAGTCTCTATATGGTTGACAATAAGAAGAATGTAGAGTAAAACTAATCATACCTGTGGAACGGCACGACATTCAATTTAATTATTATTATATTCTAACTGTCTATAGTAGAAATAATATATTTGATAATAAGTTGACAATAAGAAGAATGTAGAGTAAAACTAATCATACCTGTGGAACGGCACGACATTCAATTTAATTATTATTATACACAAGATCTACTGTAGTAAAATAAAAATAATTAAAGCATATTATCAGACACTCATTTTAACTGACATACTGTTAAACACATTTAACACGTTAAGTCAAACTGCACATCGTTTTGAATTATTCAGATGTGAATATCCAAGCAATGTTTGTTAATACTTGAACTACTCATGTCATCATAAGTTGGCTACCCTAAAAACATTTAAATATATATATATATATATATACATAAATTATAAAACTCTCAGTTAACGTTTCTCACATAGAGCCCTAAGTTTAGGAATTTGCTACGCTAAAACTCGGGGCTCAATTACTCAAGGTGGACAACGCGTAAATTGCCTATTGTGTAGCTTTGCGCTGAAAAAAAATATCCACAGTAATTTGTTTTAACTGAACAGACTTAAAGTCAACGTTTCGACTTCGAAATTGATCAGACTTATAGTCAACGCTTGGTGTCGAGATAACATATGATATATATTTTCTTAAACCGCATTAAGTGAAAAATAATTATAATTTGGTTCACAAAGTTTTGTAAACTGGTTTAAAGACGACACAATCATCCATATTATTAGCCGCCCTGTTTTAGTTATATATATATATATATATATGTTCCACAAGGCTGTTACTAGGAAAAACATATATATATATATATGTTCCCAAGGCTGTTACTAGGAAAAACATATATACATATATATGTTCCACACGGCTGTTACTAGGAAAATCATTTATCTATCTACATAACCCGTTCAGAAGTTCAACTTGTTACAACTCCACATTTAGGACACATATTTAAAATAACTGTTTCTTAAGATTGTGTTCTAAATTTGTGAATATTTCACCAATGCAGTCTTTGTTTGTTGTATTTGCGAAGAGCTGCTCGAAGATTATCTACGCTAGCCGTCTCTAATTCAGAAGTGATAGATTAGGGGGAAGGAAGCTAGTCAACACCATACGTCGGCAACTGATAGGCTGCTCTAATCGAGTATTGGAATTGATCGTTACATTATAACGACCTCACGGCCCAATAGGCGAGCATGTTATTGATGAGATTCGAAACCGCCGCCTTCAGCCTGTCAGTCGCATGCTATAACCATCAAGCTGTTACAGGACAAAATTGTTGGTTTGTTTATTGTTATGCACAAAGTTACACATTGGGCTATCAGTTCTCTGCCCACCGCCAATATCGAAACACGGTTTTATTATTATAAACTCTCAGACTTACCGCTGAGCCACCAAAGGGCTACACAATGGCCTATTCATGCTCTGCCCACTGAAATTATCGAAACCCGGTTTTTAGCATTATAAGCAACTACACTTACCACTGAGCCTCCGGGAGGTTAAATTATTGAAATATATAACTCTCCTTTAGAACTTTAGACTTACCACTGAGCCTCCGGGAGGTTAAATTATTGAAATATATAACTCTCCTTTAGAACTTTAGACTTACCACTGAGCCTCCGGAAGGTGAAATCATTGAAATATATAACTCTCCTTTAGAGCTTTAGACTTACCACTGAGCCTCCGGGAGGTGAAATCATTGAAATATATAACTCTCCTTAAAACTAACTAATTAACCTTATTTGCACAAATATTAGTAACATTGTCAATCGCAGGTTGCAAAATTTACACAATATAGTTAATTAAAAAAAGCATAATTTTTATATTAGATACACTAGGTAGAGATATGTGCATTTATTCATATTTTCTCCACTTCAACTACTATGTAACAATTAGTAATCAAGTACTTGTATCAGACAGTTTATTGATGGACATTGATTGGATTATTTAAAACCCTTTTTCCATTTAAATCACCATGTGTCGATTATCCAATAATTATGATTTCAATAGTATAAAATGTTAAAAACATGAATGGAATATACAAGATTTTCTTATAAATTTTATGTGATATAGTACACAGTTGAACTGAACGGAATACTAAGTGATAACTACAGGGTTGTACCGACAGACGCTGTCCTTTCATGTGTACGATGGCTGCCTCACACGAGATAGAAAAAAAGAGAGTTCATTTACTGATTTTACAAGTGGTCATCTGGCTGAATACTCTCCAAATAATTCCCCATTTTTTACTTTTTTTTTCAACTATACCATATGGTACTTTGTTTTCCCGCATTTTCTTTCCCTCTGAATGGAAGCCATGGAAGACGTTTTCGCCTTAGTGGTACAGATGAGGTCGATATATTGCTAGCAGAGTGGTGAGAGTTTATATATATATGAGCTTTTCATGCGAGCTTGTCAGTTTCTTCTCTGTTCTTACATCCGGACGTTAGACTCGCTATTCAATTACTTTACTTATTGACATCTATCTGGAAACCAACAATTCGAAACTTTATTCAGTACTGACTGCCAGTCCTCTGCAAATGTCGTGTTTGTTACACCGTATATTTTCGGTTCATTGCTTTCAGCATTTAGAACAAATCTTGCTTTATAGCTTCCAGCTCTATCCTTTTTCTGCTTGTGTAAGGCATTAATGTATACAAAATGTTATTGCTCCACGAGTTAATAAATGTTCAACCAGTTCTATTTTGTTATATTTGCTGTAGGAACTATCTGGGGCTATGACCACAGGTGACTGTCTACTATGGTATATAGGTGATGACAGGATTTTGCTATCTCGTCTTCTGCTCAGTCTTAAAAGTTTGTACTTATACTGATTTCTCCTGTTCCCAGTCGTGCCAAATGTTTATTCCATATGGGAGGCATCTGAGATCTGCTAGTGACTGTATAACACCTGCCCACCTATGGCTATCTTCTGAAGTGCTTTTTATAGATTTCCATGCTTGTTTGGTGTCTGCATGGTCGTTGTGCATTTGTGGTGGGACGAATGGCCTATAAATTGCAAAGCTAAAGTAAAACACTTCGCTTGCAAGCGCTGTTGGTGCTCTACAATCCTGCTGAGGCTTGATAGGAATGACTGAAGTACATTTTTTGACCATCCCTAAACATGTGTCTTGTATAGTCTCAATCTTATCTAACTGCATAGCACTAGTACTGATCATTGGTAAAACATAAACCAGTATGTAGTATATAAGAATTTAATAATCTGTCAAAAGTTATCCAGAGGAATAACAGTGCGTGCGAAAGATGGTGATAGTTTGTCCTCCCCAATATGTCTGTTGTTGACGGTGCAATACATGGATGTGACTTTAGCATGATGACCTATTTCTGTGTCATTGCACTATTTACTCTACCTTCTTATGGGTGATTGATTGCATCTTGCTTTCAACTTAAGCTTTCTTAGAGCCTCTGCTGTACACCAGAATGTCGTCCACAAACGTTAGAACACGGTACAAAGTAAACTAGATCCATGACATAGATGCTGAAGGATAATGGCTTAAATAGTGATCTTTTAGCCACACCAGTATTGATGAGGATCCAGTCTTATTGCCAAATTCCATGTTTCATGGTGCATCTTATGATAGTTAGTCCAGCTATAACTTATCTTACACATGTCACTCTGGTGTCTATATTGTGCATTTTTCCGGCAAGAATGGCCAATTGAATTCTATTGTATGCATTTTTCATATATAAAGCTACTGTCAAGGTGTTCAAAAACTTTCATTATATCAGCTGCGAATTTAATAGCTTGATCCAAGTTTATATTTCATTGCAATGCCCATTTATGGATGAGGGCAACAGTAGTTCAATTTCGGAAGCAAACCATCTTGCTTAAGCCCTCTCTGAGATTATTTTGCCAGTATTAAAAAGTTAATCTCCTTTTCTTAACATTACAAAAAAAGGGAAGGAAGGATAATGGAAAAAGAAAAACTGACTGCAAATCCTGTATAGCAATCCCCTAATCCTTATGAAAGATCGTTGATCATACTTTTTTTTCCGAAACAATAAAAAAGATAAAAACTTAAGAGTGAATAGCTAATGTGGATAGCTTATGATGGGAAATGTATCTAAAAAAGAAAAAACGATGAATGAAAATAAAGAAAAAACGTAAGCAAGATATATAACATTTCCAGGATAAGGTATGTTTTCAAAACCTTTTGTCAGATTTCAAAAATATAAAACATAAAAAGCAAGATATATAACATTTTCAGAATAAGGTATGTGTGTTTTCAAAACCTTTTGTCAGATTTCGAAAATATAAAACATAAAAAGCAAGATATATAACATTTTCAGAATAAGGTATGTTTTCAAAACCTTTTGTCAGATTTCAAAAATATAAAACATAAAAAGCAAGATATATAACATTTCCAGGATAAGGTATGTGTATTTTCAAAACCTTTTGTCAGATTTCGAAAATATAAAACATAAAAAGCAAGATATATAACATTTCCAGGATAAGGTGTGATTTATACTGTAAAGTTCAATAAAAGTAACGAAATAATCATTGATATAATATTTTTATGGACCATAAACCACAATAAAATTAGCCGTTGGCTTATATTGTTTATGATGAATCTCAAATATAGATAGCTAAAGTGTTTTATACACGATATTTTAATAACTGTTTATTGTAAGTGTTTTAAGCCTGAGAAAAGCTGAAAAGTATATATATCATAATATTTCCTCTTTTGTTTGGAAACTATTTACTTAAAATACAAACAGCAATATTCATGTTTATTCATTTTCTTTACCAGTTCAAAATTTTAATTTGTTTGGGTCGGTTATTATTAAGCACAAAGCTCAAAACAGAATATCTGTGCTCTGCCTACGACGGGTATTGGAATCCGAATTTTAGCGTCGTGAGTTGTTAGGAAAATAAGGCATTGATTTCCTATATTTTTGATTAAATGGAATATTTTGGAATAGGTTAAGTACAACAAAAGTTATATCGCTGAAAAAATTGGAACATTTAATTATTATCTCATGAAACGATGCAACATTTAATGTTTGGAATCATATCAAAATAATTAGAAGTTTGTTCATACAGAGGTTTAATCACACGTTCTAAGAAAGACACTCCAGGTCTTTGGAAACACTAGCTTTTATTTAGTTCATTCTGATCCAGAATTAGAAGTTTGTTCATATAGAGGTTTAATCACACGTTCTAAGAAAGACACTCCAGGTCCTGTGCTGTCTTTGGAAACACTAGCTTTTATTTAGCTCATTCTGATCCATAATTAGAAGTTTGTTCATACAGAGGTTTAATCACACTTTCTAAGAAAGACACTCCAGGTCCTGTGTTGTCTTTGGAAACACTAACTTTTATTTAACTCATTCTGATCCATAATTACACATCATTAGCTGAATTTGCAGTTTTCATTGGCTTCAACAACACATCTGCAGGCGATCTCTTCACAGATATTTTACTTTACTTAGCCATTGGCTTCCAACACTACTCGAGCACTAACGTCCATTGGAGCCATACCAAAGGACATAAATAGTGGATATTTAGTCGAGCGGGATTGCTTTGATTCGAGCTTCTCTGACTAATTCTGCCCATAAAAAGAGCAATTAAGTTCAAAGCTTTTGAACATTAAACTTGTAGGTCTTTGGCCTCCTCAAATCATTGTTGATTATATTGTTAAGTGTAACAGAAGATATACTCAGTTTCATTGCAGTTTTTGTTTGGGGGGAAGGGGTCAAAGAGATATCTTTTGTCTTCACTTTTCGTATGAAGCCTATGGTTTGGAATGTAGTTTAAGAACACATTGCTGTTCTATAACAATCTAGCCAAAAATATACTTGTACTTACGAATGGTGAGGAATTTGTTACGAACCAAATGTATAGCTGCTAAACAAGTCATTTCTGGTGTCATTACCTGTATCCATGGCAACACTAGTTTGTTAGCATATACAAATCACTCTTCCAAAGTGTACACGTTTACGTTTTCGCCATTAGAATAGCTGCTAAACAAGTCATTTCTGGCGTAATTACCTGTATCCATGGCAACACACTAGTTTATTAGCATATACAAATCATTCTTACAAAGTGTACACGTTTACGTTTTCGCCATTAGATTGAAGAGACTGTTTAAAGTTCTATATTTTTATTTTGTGAAAACAAAAGGGAACGTTCATTGTTTTTTACAGAGGTAAATTCATATCTCTAAAGAAGTTTATATAATTCATGTAATTTCATCATTATTTTTATTTTGGAACGTATTATCCAAATCAAAACCCGGATAAAAATAGGATAGGACAGGATAGGATAAAGACATAGTAAAGTATTTGATTAATGAATAGTTTATATATTTTAAGACTATCAAACTATCAGTTTTTTTCGTGTCACGAGTAAGACCACACATTCTCACCACACATTCATCTTCTTTTTTACATGTAAACTTCGATGTTTATCTACCTTAAAAAAAACTTCATAATACTTGATACACAATAAGTAATCTTGGAGACCTACGCCTATCACTCTTATCAGTGGAATGTATTGGAACTGAAGCACGAGTCAATACACGCAAAGTTTGTGCGGAAGAACAATACGTTCAAACAATGTAAAAACAACAGAAGTAGACATGATGAAAGTATATCCATTATGATACACGTAAACATGATGACAACAGAGCATCTTAATTATTCAAATAATTATAATTGTTTATCGTCCTTGAAACGTAATGCATAATAACGCTTGGATCGTACACGTATTGAAACAATACAGATCGTTTGTCAAAGAGGTAATTGAAATAACGCATTAATAAATCATTTCAGGATCTAGTGCATTTAACATATGAGAAAGATATCTTTAAGTATACCTCATTATCAAGTATACCATGGACATTGTGTTTGTCCAATACAAAAGCGTTAAACATAACTAAGGTATACCATGGACATTGTGTTTGTCCAATACAAAGGTGTTAAACATAACTAAGGTATACCATGGACATCGTGTTTGTCCAATACAAAAGCGTTAAACATAACTAAGGTATACCATGGACATTGTGTTTGTCCAATACAATAGCGTTAATTTCATTCCATAACAATAATTAATGTCTGACGAAAATCTTTATTTTTTTACACGGAAGTAAAAACTTGCCTGTTGAAGACGATGAAACGAACTTGATATAGTTGCAGATATTTTCATCAAGTTGTCAAGTAAATCTTCTATTCAATATTTGTAAACATTTTCACTGGTATTTCAGTCCTAAGTGTTAAAGGTCCTAGATAGAATTCACCATGAATGAAGCTAAGGAAGTTGGCTCCTTAGGATGCGAGATCAACATTTTTAACCCAAAATTATAAGCGTTGTTTCTATTTATGACATATAGATGTGTTGAGGATTTATTAAAGTGAACATATAGGGGATCGATAAACAATCAGAGACACCCACTGCAAGTCTCTTAAGAAACGTGTTGTACCACATTTATCTATTATAACTGCTTGAGTTCTTTTTAATATATTGGATAACTCCAAGTTATAGAAATGGAGATTGGGGAATTGGGATCCTTGATCTATCTTTTTAATATATTGGATAACTCCAAGTTATAGAAAGGGAGATTGGGGAATTGGGACACGTTTGTGCATTTTGAGTCATTAAAGCACCTAACTGGGCTCATACAAACTGTCGGCCTTAAAATTAGTCAAGTCACACTTTTTTCCCATGTTGCCTAACAACTACTGTAGAATAAAGCCTACATGTGTTTCAATAATACAGCTCAGTTGCCATTGTGGTCCGGCATGGCCAGGTGGTAAGAGCGCTTGACTCGCAATCTGAGGGTCGCGAGTTCGAATCACCATCCCACCAAACATGCTCACCCTTTCAGCCATGGGGGCGTCATAATGTGACGGTCAATCCCACTGTTCGTTGGTGAAAAGAGTAGCCCAAGAGTTGGCGGTGTGTAGTGATGATTTGCTTTCTTCCCTCTAGTCTTTCACTGCTAAATTAGGGACGTCTAGCGCAGATAGCCCTCGTGTAGCTTTGCGCAAAATTCAAGCACACTGGAATAACAAATTAATCAGGCATGTGAATGTCCATTTAACGTCTGAGGAACGATAAACATATCTGTAAACAATTGTTGTTGTTTTTTTGTTCAACCCCAGTATCCTTTAATACCATCCCATTAGTCTTATAGGTCGTATTAAAATGTTTTCTAATATATTTTACATCGTTAATAATAAACCAATCTGATTCTTTATTTCGCAGGAAGTGAAACGTCAATGGATGGTGAAGAAAGAAGTAATGAAGAAAGTGTGTTCCTTGCAAGACATTCCATATCAAAAACAAACACACGCAGTGTTCCTTATGAAACTCCTGAACCTGACGAGAAGTATACATATTTAAATATAGTGAGTATATCTTATTGTTAAGTAATTACGTCTAATTAATGTATATCATGCACATTTTGTTATCCCAATATTAACAATAAACTTAAAGGTTTATTAAAAAAAACTCATTTAATTCATAATTCTCTCATGATATTTTCTTTTTATATTGTAGGGAAAATATTTGATATTTTAATCTGAATGTACATATTAAGTGGAAAAATCTCGTGAGATATTAATTTTTGGGTGGGGGGTGATTGGGCTTACATCAACTAATTTATATTAATAAGACAACTATTAGATTTACTTAACATTTCATTCAATCATATTGAATATTCATGCGCTACAAAGAAATATATGACACATCAACATATATAAGTAAAGCTCCGTGTTTTCAGAGTGTGAATGCGTTATAACAATGATAGTCAAATCCCCCTATATGTTTTGATAAAATCAGTTTAAGATTTGGCGGCGGATGGTGTTGACTAGCTGCCTTCCCTCTAGTCTATTACTTCAAAATTAGAGACGACTAACGAACATAGACCTCGGGCAGCTTTGTTCTATATTGAACAAACAAACAATCAACCCATGGATAGTTATTAAATATTTGAATATTCAACAAAAACAAATAAACAAAACCATTTGGTGTCTGCTTCTATTTCGCATCAGAAAAACTTGAGGAAAGTGTAAAAGAAAGCAAATAGAGACAATCTCTTATTTCCTATGTAATGACGAGCATAATATAAACTAATGTTTAACACTGAGCAGCAGTATGGAGGATCTTCCTTTCTATGACTAACTGATATCACATGCTGTTATTTAGTAGAATGACCGGAAATTACCAGGATACATGTTTTCTGACTGATTGCTATCACAAATCCAACTAACGGAACTATACATTGTAATCTATATAAGAAAAAAATTGAGAACAATATATTCAATATTAGGTTCACTTGTTGTTTGTTATCATGCATATAGTTGTTTTGATCAGAATTTAAAACTAATTAACAATTTACAAACACAATATAAGAATACACAGATTTTAAGTATTGTTCTCCTGTTTTTTTATCTATAAAGTACCATATATAAGTGAATCAATAGTGGTCCACTTTAGAGTGTAGCCTAGTGGTTTACGTGCCATGCTATAAGGCCGAGTTTTTCCGGAATTCGCGTTCCGTTGGCACGTTATAAATGCGACTTTCAGATTTCATTATTCGTATAAAGTAGCCCAAGAGTTGGCGATGGGTGGTGTTAACTAGCTACTTTCCCTCTAGTCTATCACTTCAAAACGACAGGACGGCTAGCGCAGGTGGCCATCCCTTAGCTTTTCGCAAAATTCAACAAACAAGAAAAATGCTTCCAACAATAATAATGTTTTATAAGATTTCCTTCTATTTTTTACATAACGCGTTCCTCTTAGTAACATGATGGGAAATGAAAAAAAAAACATAAGCAGTATTAATTATAATACACATAGTTTCTGTGCTTGTGGCTTCAGTCAGATTTAGCAAGTTCAATAATAAAAACATACTACTACGTGCTGGAATGTTCTTGTTAAAGTTCAACAATAAAACATACTACTACGTGCAGGAATATTCTTGTTAAAGTTCAATAATAAAAACATACTACTACGTGCTGGAATGTTCTTGTTAAAGTTCAACAATAAAACATACTACTACGTGCAGGAATATTCTTGTTAAAGTTCAATAATAAAAACATACTACTACGTGCTGGAATGTTCTTGTTAAAGTTCAATAATAAAAACATACTAATACGTGCTGGAATGTTCTTGTTAAAGTTCAATAATAAAAACATACTACTACGTGCAGGAATGTTCTTGTTAAAGTCTGATTGTTTGTTTGTTTGGTGTTAAGCGCAAAGCTACACAATGGGCTATATGTACTCTGCCCACCACGGGTTTCAAACCCCGGTTCTTAAGATTGTAAGCAAACACGCAGAACGTAAAGTCTGAACAGTTAAGTTAGATTTTTTACATTCTTAAGTTCGTTTTGAGGGCACAGTTTTGTTACGAACAAAAGTTTTCAGGATTATATAGGCTTATTCTCACAAATTTATATTCTCTTTTTATGTTGTAATTCAGTTTAATATTTTTAGTTACCGAAATCATTGAATTTTTAACAGATATATATTTTATAAAGAAATATTCGAGATTAAAATATTTTGTTAGCTTTATTAATAGCACTCAATAATTCTCTGAAGAGGTTTATCAATACATAAAATAGTTATTAAAATTTTCAGTGCTGACAGAAGCATGGAAATCATTTTCAATGAAGACGACAAACGACTTTAATTAAATGTTGTTGTTTTTTATTCTACCAGACGTTTCGGCTTAGGACTGTTTTAGAGGTCTATGAACGTCACTTAGGCTCTTGAAAAAGTCGTAAGCCGAAACGTCGGATACAATAAAAAATATTATCTGATGTTGTTTGTCGTCTTCATTATAAATAGATAATGTGTTTTTTTAAAAACACATTGGAGCTTCAATTATTAAAAACACATTGGGGCTTCAATTATTGATGCTACATGTGTTTCCATGCTTTAATGTTAGATGATGGTTTTTATGTCATAGTTTTTTGGCGAAACTTTGTATTCAGGTAGCAGCATTACTTCGTTGTTTATAATGCTACATGTGTTTCCATGCTTTAATGTTAGATATTTTTGTACTGACGTTTATAGTGGAGTTCCATTATTTCTAGATTTAACCCATTCGTCCAAGTAACAGAAATAGTCATATTTACAAAAGAATAAAAATAAGAAATCAATCAGGAGAATGGAAACAAAATTTTGAAAAATGTGTGCCAAAGGAACGAAAAAGGTTTTTATGTCATAGTTTTTTGGCGAAACTTTGTATTCAGGTAGCAGCATTACTTCGTTGTTTATATCATCTAACATTAAAGCATGGAAACACATGTAGCATTATAAACAACGAAGTAATGCTGCTACCTGAATACAAAGTTTCGCCAAAAAACTATGACATAAAAACCATCATCTAACATTAAAGCATGGAAACACATGTAGCATTATAAACAACGAAGTAATGCTGCTACCTGAATACAAAGTTTCGCCAAAAAACTATGACATAAAAACCATCAACAGGATTGGCCATTCTGTTTTGAAATCAACATTAAAACGAATCTAAATCTCACAATCTTATTTTAATATGAGAAAACTGAATATATAAATATATGGTGACGTGTACATTACATGTATGTTTTTAAATGTCTTTTATTAATGTAGTCTAATTCTTTTGATTGCTCTAGTCCACAGCTAATAATGATGAGTGTAATTCCCCCAAAACCGGTATAACTTGTGTGAACTTTGATCCTATATTCCAATAATAGATATCTCTTTGAAACATTGTTCCAAACCGCTTGTATGATCTTTGATCCAATATTGCATCAATAAATCTCTCTTTAATGCATTGTTGTAATACAGATCTGTGATATTTGATTTAAACTTTCCTTATTTGTGGTTAAAAACAAAGCTACACACCGATTTTGAGCGTTATAATGCATCAAACTTAACCACTGAGCCACGGGAGTGGTTGATTTAAAGACAGACTGGTGGTCCATCGTGACATGTTATTCGTTCCTAGATGGGTTCTAAGAAGCCTTCTGTATTGTAAACCTCCTTATTTATATTACTATATAAGTTAGTAGGCTACTTTATTTGGATTTAACGTAAAACTACGCTAGGGCTTTATTTACTAGTTCTCTCGAATTTTGAAGTGATAGACTAAAGACAAATATCTGGTCAACATCAACCATCACCATTTCTTGGGCTACTTTTTTAATACCAAATAATATAATTTGACCGTCACTCATATAATACACTCAGTCACAGTTCCCAAAACCGAAGCGTCTTTTACTGGGGGGAGGCAGTAACGGGACACGAACCACATCACCCTAACTCCTCAGCCGGATTAATCTCTGTCCATTTAATATATTCCAATTATTTTTTTTCATAGAAAATTTTTAAGTGTTTATACGACGCATGTTTTTGTCCATTAACACATTTTCTACTATCTTTCAACTGCACTCAAATGGTTAAGCATTACCTGAGTATTTCAAATACTTCTTAGAAACATTAGTTCCTACCTAAACCTAGGTCTCGCTAATACTGCTCAAATAATGTTACGATTATACATGTTTTTTTATAAAGTATGCAGAAAAAGATACAATTCGATAAATAAGCCTTACGAGATTATAACAGAAGGTGAATACAACTTAAAACAGGAAGGAGACGTAATGAATTATTAATATTTGTAAAGTTATGTTTGATAATTGTTGTAATGAACTAGTAATATAAGTAAAGTTATGTTTGATAATTGTTGTAATGAACTAGTAATATAAGTAAAGATATGTTTGATAATTGTTGTAATGAACTAGTAATATCAGTAAAGTTAGGTTTTATAATTGTTGTAATGAACTAGTAATATAAGTAAAGTTATGTTTGATAATTGTTGTAATGAATTAGCAATATTAGTAAAGTTATGTTTGATAATTGTTGTAATGAAATATTAATATAAGTAAAGTTATGTTTGATAATTGTTGTAATGAACTAGTAATATAAGTAAAGTTATGTTTGACAATTGTTGTAATGAACTAGTAATATAAGTAAAGTTATGTTTGATAATTGTTGTAATGAACTAGTAATATTAGTAAAGTTATGTTTTGTAATTGTTGTAATGAACTAGTAATATCAGTAAAGTTAGGTTTTATAATTGTTGTAATGAACTAGTAATATTAGTAAAGTTATGTTTGACAATTGTTGTAATGAACTAGTAATATTAGTAAAGTTATGTTTTGTAATTGTTGTAATAAACTAGTAATATTAGTAAAGTTATGTTTGACAATTGTTGTAATGAACTAGTAATATTAGTAAAGTTATATTTGACAATTGTTGTAATGAACTAGTAATATTTGTAAAGTTATGTTTGATAACTGTCAGTTCCTTCAAAGGTTCTCCTATAAAAGCTACTCCACTTCCTTTAGAATAATAAT